TCTCTCTCTCTCTCTCTCTCTCTCTCTCTCACTCTCACTCTCTCTCTCTCCCTCTCTCCCTCTCTCAGCTGCTACCTTCAATTTTCCCCTTCTCCTTTCACACTCGTTCGCTCCTTCCCCGTCACTATGCCACTGTCTACCTCGTTGTCCTTCTTCCAAATAAGGCCACACACATAAAGCGAGAGGGAAAGACGTATGGATCGAGCCATTCCACGTGATTTCACGTATTTCCAGCTACGGGTGCTTAAATATTTGGTGGCCGGACTATAAGCTCAATGCACAAACGTTGGCCGGGCGATTTCCCCCCTATATAAACAACCTCTGACATTAGCTTCCTCTTTTGCTCTTCTTTAAACGAGAGTGACAAAGAGCTGTCGGTGGGCTTTTATTAATCCGTGGTGGCCCGATAAGCTCCTCTCGAGATGAAATGGCCCTCTTGCATATCGATTGAATATAAATGGTAAGGTTGGACGACACTGCGCGAGTAATCGAGAATTAGGTTGCTGTTTGCATAATAAAGACGATTTGCGCCGCGAGTCGATTTTGTTTCTAAAACTTTCATCTCGCTCGTGCCTGTAACGTTGTAACAGCATGATATTAAAACTAAATGCATCGGACGCTTTGTTATTCCGCGAGTATTTATTCTGCAGCATTGCGTGGAATTGACACACGACAAGTCTCAGAATATACAGAATACACGGAGAGTGTAGGGAGAAGCATGGAATGCCGGACTCCATTCTACAACACTAATTACTTACAAATTTATTTATCGTAATCGCACTTTTAAACGCTTCCGAATGTTACATGGTAAGCTCGATTTCTAGTATAACGGAGGTATTGAAGAACGGTAAATTCAACGCGATATATAAATGATAAAGTAAAAAGAAAAAAGTAAAAAATAAATTTCAAAATTAAAATTCAGACAGGTCACATGCATACCCTTATGTTGTCATGCGCGCGAATATGCGCGAGTAAACCAATGTGAGAGTGATAGGGTCATTGACAAGGTGCCAAATTGCAACCATCGACGATTATTAACATTCTCGTAAACAACGGAAGAACGTAAATTCGAAACAATTAGCTTATTATGCACCGTTAATGGTTCACAACTGCGTCGGACATATATTTGTCGTTAATTTTTTTTTTTTACACATCGAGCAGCAGTGACGTTATACCGTTACCAGCAAACTCTCTCGTATCCAAAGCATAGGGAATACGGGAATAGCCGAGAAAGCACGAATGCAAGAAAGAAACGTATAACTCGGCGCTTGTTTCGAGCGTCGTTGCTACGACGGACTCGATGTGACGAAGGGAGGCGCAGTATCCCAATATAAATTTTAAAACTTCATTCTTCTCGGGATAAGCACGGGGCCTTTTAACTCGAGTCGCGCTCAACTCTATTTCCCATGACGGTGACTGTCCACAGTAGAAGTTAATGTTTGCGTCGGGCAAGAATGTCCGCAATTTCTTGAGTTGGAAGCTGAGGGTCATGGGGGAGGAGTCGTATCGATCTCCTCCGCGTGGCTCGGAGGTACTGCAGGACGAAAAGCAGGCCGGCGATGCCGAGGTTCCGAGGTAAGACGGCGACGCACTCCAGTGCCGTACTTCCATATCCAGCTCTGTACTACGTAAATGCATGATTTAAATCGCTTTAAATTTCCCCGCTGCTTACATGCTTTTCCAATTACACTGTGTACAATGTGTCGCCCCGAGTACTCCGTCTTCTGCTTATTCATCTCTTACTGCTTCTTCCCTCGTCTTCACCCTACATCTCTTATTCCTCACCATTGCATCCGGTCTACAACTATTTAAATGTATTCGTATATTTCATTGCGCGGAGAATTTTTACTATTAACCTAGGATCCCGTGTTTACACGTTGGGATTATTATATAAGGGAATACTTACGTGTAATTACGAATTAAGAGTTTTCTGCATGGAGGAGCGCTATTAAAAATAATGTAATTCGAAAAGTATTGGGCTTAAATTGGATAGATCGCGATCTAATTTAGAATTGAAATAGATTTCAGCTGCCGATATTATATGGATTTCTCAATTATTTGTCTTATTAAATCATTAAGTTTATTTAATTGGACTTTTCATGAAACGAGAAAATTCGTAAATTTTACTAAACTAATTGTATCACGTTTGAATTCTTTGTAAAAAAAAAAAAAAAAAAAAAAAAAAAAAAAAAAAAAAAAAAAAAACATTTAATTTAATTAATTTCAATTGATTTAATTAGTTTAATTTGAGTTTACTTAGTAAGCTTTTTAATTAATTCTACGTGATAAAGCTTTAATGGATTTTGAAGTTTTGTACTGTAAAAATTAAGCAAAATTCGACTGGACCTAAGCCTTACATTATTTACAAAAATGCCTACATTTATTATCAAATGTTATCGAAATTTTAAATACTATTTTGATGAATTTAATGAAACGAGTAAATCACAGAATATGAAAATTGTAATACGCAAATACTTCTAATCACAATAATGAAATGATTATTCAGTTATAAAGTTCTTCGTGTGTGAATCAATTATTAATACGATTGAAATAACGACTGGATAAATATGTAATATGCAAAACTTAAAAATCTTTGTCAATTAAAACCAATTCTTTGCTGTAAGATTCTGTTTATTCAGACTTTTACGAGTTCCAAAAATAAGGTATTAAATGATCTTAGCCTCAAACTAACGCTTATGGAAATTAAAAATAAACAGTGATACGACTAGATGATAGGACTAGACTTTATCAAATTACAATAAAATATCAGTTTGCTTGAATAATTAGTTTAATTTGCAATTTGTGTTAATAATCAAAATTGGCTTAGATTTGACTAACTAATTCCCTATCTTGTTGCCTTTTTATTCTCGAGGGATGCAATTATCGTATCAGAAATTATGGTCTCAAAGGAATCGCGTGAAATACTATAACGTTGCGAAGGGATTAATTTGTAAGAAAAATAAAAAAAAATCAAGAAAGTATTATATTTCAAATTTAATCGTCTTTTATAATTATTTATTTACCTTAAAATAATTCGAGGATTAACATACGGATAAATGGATGAATTGAAATAAAATTAATAAGTAATAAGACTGGCTTATTTATGTTGATGCTCTTATATGAAGATATAAATTATGTAAATCGATATTTTTTTTTATACCATCGGTATTGCAATATAAATTTGCTTATTCAATTGACAAGTTGTTTTTTTGTTTTTTTTTTTCGTAAATTGAAATTCTTATAATCATCAATAAATTACAGTTCGATGATTAAATAAAATCTCCGAATATTTCTTCGATTAAGCAACTCACTTAAATTAGTAGCCACTATTGTGTGTCTGATTACCTTCAAGAAAGTATTTAAAGAACACGTAAAAGTTTTTTTTTTTTTTTTTTTTTTTTAATATTGAATAATATACCATCGTGTATGAGTTTATTAAATTATTATAATTTTAATATTATTCAAAGTTCCCTTAAATTTTTTAAATTCACAATCATCGAACCTCGATAAATCAAGCAGAATATGCAAAAATATCCTTAGGAAAAAGCGAAAAGTTTAGTTTACATCTTCAAAAAGGCGATAGAAACAACAATATTACATTATATATTAAATTACGTATTGACGTAGAAATATCTTTACGATTTACACTTTATGTAAACGTAAGCACATATGAATAAAAAAAAAAGTAAAATAAAATAATAACTGAATCATCTAACCGATTTTAAATAAATTAACTTTCAATCGTAATATGTCACAACGTATGTTTAGCAAATCTAAAATGCCGTTTTTTGTCTCTACATGATCAGTGCAACGGAAAATTTTTCCGAACCACTAACATTATGCGAAACAGAATTTAAAAATAAAACGTACTTGCTGAGCTTTGCTGTGCCTTGTTCCCGTAACTAAGTTGAAAAAAGCCTCGTTCATTCGCGTCGAATCAATGATGCTTATAGCCACGTTAAAGTTTATAGTCAAATCGAAAATCAACCACGACGGAACAATAGATCCAGCATCATTGAACGTACTTTTATATCATAACAGGTTGAAATGTTCTAGTTTTATCCACCAACATCGTTGTATTATCTAAGTAATTTATTGTACGTTATTTGTAACTTCACTAGCGTGTTTTTCACTCCGAATAAATGCCTCTGTTATATTCGTAACTTTTTTAATCTAATAATCAAAGCGCGATAATTCTCTCGTCCTGATATATTGAAATTTTTTTTTTATAAACAAAATTATAATAGTTAATTATATGCAGCGGGAATAATCGTTTTGTTTTATTTGGAAATTGCAATATTAGTAATAAAAGGCATCTCGTAAATAATAATTGTTAAACACTCGTTACATGCTTCATTTTAAATATACCAATACATCTTATACTGTAGTTCCTTCTCCTCCTTCTCCTCCTTACCCCTCCCCCCCCCCCCCCAGGCCATCACCAATGCAATGTCAGAAGCGTTACCGAGAAACTCAATTTCACTTGGAGTACTAGCACAATTTTTTCTCTTTTAACGTGCAAATGTAATTTAAACCATCCAAAGTGCATTTATATCGATTTATTAAGCACATTGTACACATCACAGACAATAATCGTACGTATTGGATTACGCACGTGTGTGTAAGTGCTGCTCGCAAGCTTTTTCTGTTGATATTCCGAGCGTTAATAATTGAGCAAAAAGTAGAATTGTGAAAGGTGTAGATGAAAGGAGGCAACGGCGAAAAAGAAGTGTAGATAGCCGCTAGGGCCGGCAGTGTGATTATCTGCGCCGTGAATTCTGTTTTAGGGAAAGAAATAAGATGCCAACCGCAGCCACTGCCGAGGAATCTGCTCTCTTGGGGTAAGTTACGTTTACTTTAATATAAATTTTTCCGACACGAGCATCTGGCACAAGATGAATTACAATGTGATGTTGTCTGTAGGATTACGTATTATTAAAAGAATCGATGCTTTTAACCTGTAAACCGTGCCACCATATATTCTCACAATCTTCACTTATAATAATTCTGTACTCTTTAATGAACGGCCTATATGCATTTACATTACAGTCAACATAAATAATTCATCTTTAGTCGGTGGTTGAAATTACAATTGTAAATTATTTCGATAAGAGATACATTTGCACATTTCAAATCACAAACAACTAAAATATTCGAATTTGAAAAAATTTTTTGTAATATAGTTGTATTTTATATATTTTCATCAGTTTTCTATTATATTTAATAGTATTTTAACTTAGTTTCTTATAATGTATAATTATTATATTAATGTAAATTAAATAGATATTGTTTGAGAATGTAGTGTAGATTGGATTTTATAAAATATGCAACAATAACATTAGTAGACCGTGTAGAAAATTTTGAATACTTTATAAATTAATTGTTTTTTTTTTTTTATCTTTTAGATGTTAATTCTCATAAATATAAGTGCGCGTGTGTGTATGTATGTGCATGTATGTATGTACGTGTTCGTATGCGTGTGTATGTACGTGTGCGCGCTCGAGTGTGTGTTTATTTACTTTGCCAATCTGAAGTAAAGATACGTATATCTTCAAAATACATATATACTTGATTTTATAAATTTCCACGTATAGATTTCATATTTAAATAATATTGAACATTGCTGCACTAAATACCGATAATTATGCGCATTATGCGTTTAACTAAAGCACGTCGTAAATATCGCGAATTTATTATATTTATATATACAATATTTTTTCAATAAAAAAATATCCTATTTGACACAAGTGTACAATATTTTTTATATTCATAGCCTAATCTACGAAATCATTCGGTTTCTCATCATTTATTACATATACTTTACTTATTTCTTAGCATATAATTTATCATATAATAAAAAGTATTATAAAATTCTTTATATAATTTGGTATGAATAATATTGTGGATTTTATTAATATAGAAGGTTTATCGCTAAAATGAAATGCTTCTGATTGTTTTTATAAATAATCGTTGCATTGGAGAACTGTTTTAAGCAAGAAGAAATATGCCGCAAGCCTAAATCCTTAAAGGCAATATAAAATTTCTTGCTAAAGAACGCCAATACTTTCTCCAGGCTCGTAATTCTATGCTAGTAGTAGAGTATAATTGCTATAACTTCTAACCGAGAATAGTATGAGATAGTCGACACATCCATTTAAATACTCGGCCAAACTGTAATGCTAGATCGAGACTTTTTTTTTACAGGCAAGTGGAAATATTTCATCCGCATCGCTCTTTGGTGTGCGGTGCGTAAAATTGTGTTCGCACACAATCGCTTCAAAGTGGTTGTACTATTCCATATCCCTGATTTCGTCACATCCAAATGATCGATAATATTTCGGATTTAATTTTCTATGACATTTATATGAAAGTGAAGAGTTTTTCCAATCAATGTATTATACAGATGTAATTAATGCTTATTTTACTAATGATAATGATGATAATGAGATAATTTTGAAGCTTACTTAAAGTAAATAATATTTACTGAATATAAATATTTGTTGATTTTTTCTTTTTCGGTAATTTTAAATTTTATAAACTATATTTGAACCATATAAGCAAATTATTTTTTTCATCATTTTTAATAATAGATATTTGACAGGATGTGATCCGAAACCATTCACTTTACGCTAAAACTATTTTTATAATAAAATTTGATTGCTGTAAGAACTCGTTCATATTTAAAAATTAATAATTGTATTTGAATTTTATTGTATTCACAAACGTCTAGCAGAATTGTATTTTATTAAATGTTTTTTTAATTATTACTATATTTTACGATATTACTATATATCATGCTTATACAATTTATAATACATAAAAGTAAGGCAAATAAAATTCACAGATTTTTACGCGAAAAGCCATTAAATAAATCTTTTATTAGAGCATCATTTCAATCCTCAATATGGCACATAGAATTCACGTTTGATAAAATTATACTAAACACAATAGTAGATAATTCGTGAAAAACTTATGAATGCACCAATAAAATGTTTGGAAATTGAATCATTTGCACCGGAAAGAAATGAAAATATTTTATATTTATGTGCTTAGTTTATAACGGTAAAAACCTGCGTTTCAATTACATCATTTTTGTGATATAGTTTTTTTTTTTTCGAGTAACTGATCTATCATTTCATATTACATTACCCCAACATTTAAGCACAAAATAACAAAAAAACATGTAATTATATGAAGATTATTACATATAATATTATATATTGTGTGTATTGGAGTCATACAGTTAAATCAGTCGGTAATATATATATATATATATATTTATATAACAATTTATAGCTAAAATTTTCCTACAATAGGCATAAATGCTCTCATTTTAAACTTACGCGGTAAATGAAGAAAATAATTAATTTACATTAAGCTGTTCGTGGATTTAGTTTTTTCGGATAACTTAGATCCAAACGCAGTTAGTCTCCTTGATTTTAGAGAATTTTAAGCTTAGCATAATCCTATTATTCCATGTATGAACAAATTTCTCATAAGTAAATCAACAGATGGCATATTCTGTTGTGTTAATAATCGGTGATACAATTAATAACTTAAAAAGTACTTTAATTATGATCTAAATCGTAACTGTGCTTTTCTTTTTATTAAAAATTTATCTCGAACTTATGAATGTAGAATAATCATACTTATGTGAAATTTTTTTTTAAAAATTTTAAATTTTCATTGTACCGCGAGAAGTGCTTTTGTAAAATTACTGACACTCTGAAATTACATCTATGAATTCAAATTTAATGACTAACCTTTGCAGAAAATTTTGTCATTCGAAAATAATCGATATATCTTTTATCTAAAAATGCTATCTTCCCTAATTAACTAATTAGTCCTTTAAAATTTTCAATTTTACATATAAGTTTAAGTATTCCATTTTTATTTATTGTTATTTGATGGAAAGGAAATAAATTTAAGCCGAAAGTAATTACTTTGCGGTAAAATATTAAAGAATTTAACATCCAACGTCCTTATCAAATTAGCGATTTGTAATCTCAAAATGCCCGCATGAGCGCGAATAAGAGAGAACCTTACGAAATGGAAGATTAGCCCTGGATTAAGGTGCCGAGCAATGCAGTAGACGAGTCTTAGTTATCGGTCTTCAAGAACCAAGAACCACCCGCCGAGATAATGGGTCGATGTCCCTCGTTACCCGCATACGTCGTGCATTTTACCAGGAAGCCACCTAATTACGATCGCTATTTCTTTTGAGTTGATAAACGACTGGGGAGGCGTGGAAAATACCTGAGATTTTGGCTAATCGTGTTACCATGTCACGAGGCTCACTGACAAAACCGAAAGTTTCTACTAAAACGGCGAAGGTCCCGATCTCATCTCTGACTGTCACTGCACCTGGGGTAACCTGCTTTAATCTGCCTTTCATTCAATTTCTCGCAATAGTTCTGGCATTTATTATAAAATAATCGCCGGATTGTAAGATCGATTCCAATAATAATGAACTCCGTATTAGCAAATTTTCCTTCGTCGCAGTATTTCTTATTTATCCAATATAGAATTATATTACGTATAGTGGTGAGGTGTTGAGGGATTCGGTCTATCTTATTTTAAATATAAACATTGTTGAAAATTATTTCAACCCTTAGTTAATATTTATTGAAACTTGACATATGAGCCACCCGTGCATCTTCTTAATGCACGAACATACACTTTATACAACCGCACGAAAAAGCAAAAATGTGCATTGTTAAATTATTGTTTCAACTGGTTTTAACTGTAGTGATTGAAATACAGATACGATAATTCTATTATATCAATAATAAGAAAAAAGTGAACGATACTTACAAAATCTAAACGAATTTAATATTAATTTGAACGTAAATATTTGAACGTAAGTTTCATTGTTTAGCTTAATGGTTTAATAAATTTCGTTTAATAAACTAACGGCATCGTTTAATATTACTATATTATATATTATGTTACATATTACATAACATAAAATCAGGAATAAAACTTACCGCCAAACTTACTGCCAAACATTTTAAATTTTGATAAATATCGCGTAAAAATGCTATGTAAAGGCCGTAGATTAATCGATACTCTAACCAATAATTGTTAAGCATTCGGCTAAAACTGTTTCCCTGTATATCGCTACCGAAGCGTAATATCGAGTTGCAAACGAACATTGTTCAATAAACATTCTATCGCATTTAAAATACAGGGATAACTGCATCCTCTGGAGCATTCAACGATTACGTGCTCAAAGTAAGAGCGCAGATCCACGAATCTGTAATGGTCCTCCGAGAAACTAACCACTCAAGAATGTGATATAAGGACCGTATTCTCGGTGGGAGTGGTGGTAATTAACATTGGGATTAGTGGTAATTTGTTGGCGTTAAACGACGGACGAACAAAAGACCGAGGCTACTTAACCGAGAGAGACGCATGGATAATCGCGCGAGCAAAAGTCTACCAAGCTCGATGAGATGGCGCTTACGTAATTCTTGACAGAAACAGGAAGGCGTCATGAGGGTGGGGAAGGGGGGGGGGAGATGTTAACGGCATTGGTGGAATGCACAAGCGGAGGTTGACTTCCGACTCTCTTATTACTGTTGTACTCAATCACGTGGGCGTCGTAAGAGGCAGAGTTTCATTTTGTCGGTGTCGTGGAGAATTTAATGAAGAAACAGGAGGTTTTGCACGACGACCCCCCCCCCCTCCCTCATTTAACATGACAATTAAAATTTTCTTTATGTTCTTTGTTGGATCGAGAACAAAGACTGAGACTCGTTAGTACAAATTTTCAAAAATTTTCGATTTCGATTTAGTTTCACGATGCAGTCAAGTTGATATGGAGTGATTTTTTTTTCTC